TATGCACAACATAATATTTAATTTTCTCATGAAATTTCAACTTCCTACAATCACAAAATGTTGTGGACTTTCTGCATTAATTAGCAATGAAATAAATAAAGAAAGAAATAAAGAAATAAAAACAACAAAGAAAACAGCCATGTCCAGACTGGAAACACAAATTATTAGACTTTACATTCATGTCTGAGGTTGTCTGTGTCAGAAGTGAGACTCTGAGATTCAACTGAAAGCAAAATACAAAATTGTGGCTCTCTGAAACACAGTGGCAAAATCTCTAAAACAGGTAAGGTCAGCATTCCACTGACATTGAAAAGATGAACAGTAATATTCATCAATATGAAGAAATGTTTGAAAAAGTCCTGCTAGGATTATTTACAAGATAAAGAAGGACCTGCTGTTTTTTATATGAAGCTCTATTTTAGCCACAAGATATTTTTGCTGCTCCTTCAGTGTTTCTCATTGTAAGGTTAAGAAATGTGTTACTGCAAACACATTAACCATCCAGGCTCATTTAAATGGAACCACGCAAGAAAGCAAAAGTGTAACAGTTACTGAAAAGCAACCTCACTGCTTTTGCATTCATAACATACAAACAGTGAAATCCAAAGCCAGTGAAACGAAAAATAGGTGATGTCTTGAATCATAGCATCTGATCTGCAAACAGACTCCTCTGAATTAATCAAAGATTTAAAACAAAACATAAGTACCTATCCTTTTAACATGACAGCAGGGTGCTCTCTGTTCCATTAAGCACATCTAATTGCAATCCAGGGTGGTACAGGCTCCTACATCAGTTTACACTTCGTTTTTCAAAGCTTTCTGAAGAGACTGAGAATGAATCACAAAAGAGGCATGCTGTCAGATCCACAGAGAAATGCTTTTTCAACACTTACTGAGAAAAGTAGAGTTCAAAGGCAAATGCTGTGCAGTAAAAGCTTACTTCCTTGCTTTTTTTTTTTTTTTTTTTTTTTTTTTTTTTCCCCTAGAGAATTACCTTACATTCTGATCCACCTCCAAGCAGTGCCAGTAAAAATAAAGAGGTGCTCTTAAACAAAACTGAACTAGATGCTTAGAGGATTTTCTGCACTGTTTGGAAATGTTTAATTTCAAAGAACAACAAAAGAATTTTTCACCTTCAAGAGGAAAAGTGTGGCAATTTCATACTCCAACTGAGAGACATACAGAGAAGAGGAAAGGGTGAGAAAAAGTTACAATAGTTACAGTATTAACCTTTCCTTTAACAACATTAACTCAAAGCATGAGTTTTCAAAGTCCCTTCTTGACTTCAAGAATCTCTTCTTTCACTGTCAGCCTTTTGAAGGTAAAGAATTTCTTGCTCCAACTGTTTTGTAAAAAAAATTCCCTTAGAGCTATATACTTACTTTTTACCACCCTGGCTATGAATCTAAGTCTAGGTAACTGGCTGCATCTACACTACAGCTAAATTTCTGACCGTGGGACAATAGAGAAATTCCTAATCTGACTCTAAATTAGCTGTTTCTGATACTGATCTTACCATAAAGACTAAATACAAAAGGACTGATGTACTCAAACTGCTATGTCTCACATACACCCTGAATTTGTATACATTTTCAATTTTCTTAAAGCAAGAAAAGATATTTTTGCATTTTGAACTTGTAACTCAGGAACCAATCTTAATATCTAATTTGATTTTTGCCAATAGCAGCAGAAAATATCATCCAAAACACTGGAAAAAAAATTAAGCTGGGAGAGAAATATAACCTATTTGCTACTCGTTCTGGAATGTGGAACCTGATAGATCTCCTGACATTCATCTCCAGTCACAATTATAGTAGGGAAATCTTTCCTTCAGTATATACTCAATTATTTATAAGCAAGATCATATTGGACAAAACAGTATTCACAATCTAAATGATTTCTTGTGAAAATGAGCATAGTTCATAAGAATAATAAAAATTCAAACATTAAGAAAACAGTTAACATAGCAAATTAATTATACAGAGAAAAGATAATGGTTCAGCAGGGCCCCTGGAAATTTAACAGAGATTTAAATATCTGATTGAGAGTATTTAGGCCAAATTAGAGAATACAAAGGACCTAGATTTCATTAGGGGTTGCATTACATACAACAAGGTACATCCCACAGAGGTTGGATACTGTGAGCAGCATTTCAAAGGCAAGACTAAATGTACTGGCTTAAACGTGATCATTAGTAGATGCACCTGTGTACAAAACCAGTTACAGGTTTTTTAAATTGCATCTGAAAGTGATAAGGATGTAGACCAGGTTCTGAAATTGTGAAGCAATGAAGTCCTTGTGGTTAGATAAATGCCTATTCCCAAAACTGAGATCAAGGACTTAACGTGTTGCTGAATCAAATATCTATTTTGCTTCCAATTTTACTGCTATTTTGATTTCTACAAAATTTCTCCTATTAAAAGGAATTACAGGCAAATTCTTCCCTCTTACACAAACTGAAAGTAAATTTTTATATACATTTTATATGACTATTTTATATAGTTACATAAAACTATAATTTCCCTCTCTGCCAGCAGCAATTAAACTCCAGATCTTACTGCAAGAGGTTTTCAATTAATTTGTTCTTATGATCTGTAAATACACAATCGGGACAAAAAAATTGGTCTGTTTTACATGTGGCTTCTAAGCATATTATCAGATTAATTCTTGTAGTGCTTTCTCTTTTACAGTGAATTCCACTGAATTTTTTTTTTAACCATGTTTAAATACATTCTTCAATAAGAATAAAAGTGCTTTTATTTTCCTGAGTTGTAATTTGAAGTGATTTCTTCTGAAGGTGTGCTAAGTATAACGATTACCAGCCTTTTAGTCCCAGTCTTTATACATCCCAAAAATGCCTACAGTCACAAACACATTCAAAGGATTTAAATGGTTGGCAAGCATACTTAGACCATTTCATCCATAAGGTTTCCATTTTTCTAGAAGTTAGATTCAATAGCAAATCTGCGACCAGAAGCTTTCTCTGTCTTTCATAAGACAGAATTTACTCCCTGTATCTCCAGTCTTCTTTATTACAAAAAGGCAGGGGAGGGAGGGAGAGAGGGCCTGAAAGCTGTGAAATAATAAGCACAGAAAACCTGACTAATCATAGCAATCTCTAACAGGTTCTAATGATATTTTAAAGATATTTATCTATATCAGTGCAATGCAATACAGTCTCAGTATTTTTCAGTAATTTGTAATGTAAAATGTGCTAGAAAAAGCTATTCCATAAAGATTGCCCATTTTCTATGAAGTTACTCAAGTGAATTTGAAATTTCCCAGAACTACTAGCCAGCTTGTGCTCTACGTGATAATAAGAGGTGAAGAGTGGGATGGGTACGTCCAGTTTTTATGCTGAAGTGTGTGGGATTATAATGCAGACAGCATACATCTGGAGCTAGAATACAAATATGCACAGATACATCCACAGGAAATAGATTCTTTTAATTATGGGAAAAATAAAAAAAAGAAAATAAACCAACACCTTTCTTACCTCATGGAGAAACATAAAAAGACCTTTAATCATAACAAAATATTGTTAGTTTGTTGAAGCTGAGGTGTATGACTTTGATACCCTCATGGATTTGTAAGCTTTTTCTTTCTCCCTTCCAATAGAAGGTAATATTGAATTTTAGGAGTCAGAGATTTCTAATAACACCCACCAGCAATAATGGTTTCTAAGGCAACCCATCAATTATGCACTCCTTGTTATGTTATCGAAATATAGATATAGCAGAGTTAAAGATTTTGTCTTCCCTGAAAAGTATTAGATAACTGGAAAAAAAAATAGTTACCCAGGAAGTTAAAAATAACGAACAGTTATACTGACATATCTACAAATTTGTTCAAAAAGAATGTTAAACACAAAACACTAAATGCTTTGGAATATACTAGTATAGGCATACAATTTACTGAAATGAATGGTTTATATTACTTTTTGTTTCACTTCAGAAAATGAAAAATGCATTGCTTTGTGAGAGGAATAATTCAGCCTGTAGTGACATAAACACCAGATGAAATGCTATACCTAGCTACTATGACAGAAACTCTACCACTGACTTTTTCAGTTATGATAATAGTTCACATAGTAGATTGCAGCCTAAGACACTGTAGCTCTGTTTGCCTGAGGAAACTTAATCCAATGTTTGATCCCCAGTGGATATTTCAGAGATAGTGTGACACTGAAATTAAATAATAAAAAGGAACCAGAGAACTAACAGATTTTGTTTATTAATACACATACAAGAACTCATCCAGTCTGCAGAAAATAGCAAGTCTCCCCCCAGCCCAGAATACGCACATTTTGTCAGAGAGCAGCAAACCTCTGGCCACTCTGCTCCCACTCTGCTTGTCAGCTGTTTTCTGTTTCCTAATCTCAGACACCTGCACTGGTGCAAATTCACACTTCATGGGAGCCCTCTAGTTTTCTAACAACACCTGTGTGGTCTGACAGGTACTGCAGCATAAAAGGAGAGTTGAAGCACTATGTTCCCCTCTTTTTTTCTGTCCTGTATAGCTTCATAATTGATTTGAGTTAGGGTAAGAGATGCGGCTTGGTTTAGCATGGGAGATGTGTATTCTACCACATAGACCTCAATGCAGGAAGAAAGAAGAAAACATTAAATTGGAATGGTTAGAGGGGTTGCTAAGATGTACTTCATAACTGTGAAAGCCATTCATGTGCCCTCTCCTCCTGCTTTGTAACAGCTAAATGCAGATACAGAGCAGCCTTGCAACCAAAATTATGGCTTTAAGTTAGTAAAATATCTACGATGTGCTCATTTTAAACAGACTCCAGTAATAGGGCCCACACTTTTTATAGTATAAGGGCTCCATAAGTGTAGGCCTTCACTGTCCTTTAAGCCTCTCAATCTCTCTGATCTACTCTCTTCAGTTTGTCCTCAGCCCCGGCTGGCCCAGGGTCCTGAAACCAGACATAGTGCTCCAAGTGGGGCACTTCAAATGTAGCACAGGAGAGTCTGACCACTTCTCTCACTTGCAGGTTCTGTCTGCTGATGTTGCCCAGCGCACAGGTAGCCTGAGTTGACAAAAGAGCCCATGCAGTCTTCCAAATTCTATCATCCAACGTAAGTTATGTGTGCAGTGAGAAGCTTCACAACCTGTAAAGAGTGATACTACCAGCAGTGAGCCTCCCATCACACTCACATGGCTCCTTTCCTCGGCGTTAGGTCTCCAGTGTGAGGAGGTTGGGGAGGGACCACTGCCAGCCCATTGTTCCCCAAAGTAAAATAACCAGTACAACTGCAGGCTCTCTGAAGAGCACTGTAGACCTGTGCTCTCATGAAAACACTGTCTAAGCTCAATTAAAATGGGCCTGTTGTAAGCAGACTATAGTGGAAATGCTAAGTCACAGCTTGAAATAGTGATTGGGTACCTGGTAGGAAGGCGGGGCCAACCCAAGGGGGATCAGCTGCATGCCAACATCTCAGGTCAGACCTCATTTAAAGATTGGTGGTGGAGGCAAGGGTGTCTTTTGAGATCCTTACATACCTGAGTCTTTTGAAGGTAAAGAGCTTCTCTCCTACATTTCTGTGTCCACTGCTGTTGCACTGGAGTGAATCCTCACTTGCTGTCATTACACAGGCATAAACTCATACAGCAGAGTATGACAACACTACAGTTCCAGATGGATTGTCCAGGATCTGTGGTATGAAGGTTATAAAGGTCCTATCAGTCTTCAGAGTACATATCTGCCCATGGCAGAGAGATAGGAACTGCATGATCCTTAAGTTCTCTTCTGATACAAACAATTCTACGATTACTAGTCATTCTGCCAGGCAAGCTATGAAAATCGCAAAGCATGGAAAGAGTGCTGTGGACTTTAGCTCTTGCAAGCAGGGCAGTACAGGCTTTGCCCTTTTTTTTTTTTTTGTTCTTCTTGTTACTGCTTTGGGGTTTTGTTTATCTTTTATGTCAGGCAGTGACAATCTCAATATAATGCTGTTGCCTTTGAAATTGTTAAAAGGAATTGCTCCAAGCTGTTCACACGTGTCTGTCCCTTCACATGGCTGGCACCAGCTTCTACTCTCTGCTGCATCTCATGGACCTTCAGTTTCTCCACTCCTCTTTCCAAGAATGACAAAAGAAGGGTTAAAGTACTTTGTTAATTAAATGCTTTCTCTTGCATCATCTTCATAGTACGGCATTTCACTTTTTGGCTAAGGTAGTGATACAGGCGAGGACATGAAAAAAGGTTCTGGAGTTTAATTAGCGTGGTTAGAAAATTAGATAGAAAAGCAATTTAGGATGTGTCTATGAAGGGGAAAGAAAAGTTGATGACAGCAGAGAATTGGACTCATAATGTACTATTCACATGTAACTAATCTCCCTAACTGACGAAGACGGTTTTTCAGTAATTTGAACACCAGCTGGCTTCAGCTTTTGGAATAATGTGAAAACTTGTAATGTAATTCTTGTTGTGCCTGTTCATATCTTCATTGCAGCTAAGGAAAGTTTCCTTATGTGTAGGTAGCAACTTTATCAACAGGGAAGGAGTCTGAAGTGTCCTTTATATTGTACTTCATAGAATAATAGAACAGTTTGGGTTGGAAGGTACCTTAAAGGCCATTTAATTCCATGCACAGGAACATCTCCCTGTAGACCAAGTTGCTCAAAGCCCCATCCAGCCTGGCCTTGAATGCTTCTGGGAAGGCATCATCCACAGATTCATTGCGCAACCTGTTCATATCAGCATCTGCATAGCAAAGAATTTCTTCCAAATTTCTAATCTAAATCTACCCTCTTACTTTAAAGCCACAACTCCTGTCCTACCACTGCACTCTCTGATAAAGAATCTATGCCCATCTTTCCTGTAGGCTCCTCTAGGTACAAGTAGGCTGCTGTAAGGTCTCCCTGGATCCTTCTCTTTTCCAGGCTGAACAAGCTCAAATCTCTCAGCCAGTCTTCACAGGAGACCTCTGATCATCATTATGCTCTTTTATGAACTCACTCATGTCTTTGAGTTGGGTTCCCAGACGTGGAAGCAGTACTGCATGTGGGAACTCATGAGAGTGAAGCAAACAGGGACAGTCACCTGCCTCTCCCTGCTGGTCACGTGTCTTTTGATGCAGCCCAGGATACACTTGATCTTCTGAGCTGCAAGCACACATTTGCAGCTTGAGTTGAGTTTCTCAATCATCCATATCCCTAAGATGCAAGATGACTTTCTATCCACTCACTGAAAAGCCTGTATTTGTACTTGGAAATGCCCAGACCCAGGTGAAGGACCTTGCACTTAACCTTGCTGAACTTGATGAGTTTTGCACCAGCACAGCTCTCAAGTCTGTCAGGTTTCCTCTGCATGGCATCTCTTCCCTCCAGACCATCAGCTGCCCTGCTCCAGTTGGTGACATCTGCAAACTTGCTGAAAAGGCACTCCATCACATTGTCCACATCACCAAAGAAAATGGTCACCGCCGGTACCAGTACTGAGCCCAGAGGATTGTTACATACCACTGGTCTCATACTTGAAATGCTGTGTCCAGTATCAATGAGATACCCCAAGTAGCAACCAAATATTTAAAATGACCACTGAATTTTTTAGTGTTATTTAAATTCATTGCTCATCTACAGGCTTTCTATGCTGCTAAAAGAAATCTGAGACCGTGTTTAATGGTCACTTTATAAGAGGTGTAGATTAATTACTCTCAAGCGTGAAATAATTGCCGAAGTTCTCTAAAAACCATTTTCTGAAAGTTCCCTTGCTGTTCAAATACTTTACCTACATCCTCTTTCATGCCATCAGATCAAACTGTGTTCAAATAGAAACATTTGAAAGAGCTCACTTAAAATGAGACAGGAGACTGACAGTGCCTTTCTGTGATTCTATGGGGATAAATGAATTCTTGCAGTTCAGTATTCTCACAAAGTGGCAAAATCAGATTTTCCCTCTGTTTTCCTACTTCTGCTGCCATGAGTTTTCCATTCCTTTTACAACGGCTTAGCTTTGCAGGAAGTTGCCCTTCCTCAAGCTATTTTGTTGCTATAAAGCTGGAGGAATGGGCTAAACTTGTAGCCTGATGAGGATCAACAGTATTCTTTCTCATTTCATGATGTGTCATAACCACAAAAATGTTGAATTAAATATTTTTTTTTTCTTCAAACAATCTTATACGTATTCTGGGTCCTAAAATATGAACCAGAGCAGCTGAACACTCAGACCTAAGTGTGAATTCCCATCTTCCAGACCTCAACTTGCGGTTATGAGTATCCATATAAAATTACAGAATCATTAAAATTGGAAAAGACCTCTAAGATCACCCAGTCCAACCATCTACCTACCACTAATATTTCCCACTAAACCATGTCCCTTAGTACAACATCTAAATATTTCTTGAACACCTCCAGGGGCAGTGACTCCACCACCTCCCTGGCAGCCCATTCCACTCTTCAGGTTGTGAAGAGTGATAAGGTGACTCATAAGCCTCCTCTTCTCCAGAATAAAGATTTTCAGCTCCATAGATGCCTTTCATAAGACTTATGCTCCAGACCCCTCACCAGCTTTGTTGTCCTTCTCTGAACACACTCCAGAGCCTCAGTGTCTTTCTTATAGCGAGGGGCCCAAAACTGCACACAGCACTTGAGGTGCAGCCCCACCAGAGCTGAGTACAGGAGGATGATCACTGCCCTGTTCCTGCTGGCAACGCTTTTTCTGATGCAAGCCAGGATGCCATTGGCCTTTTTGGCCACCTGGGCACATTGCTGAGCGCTGACCAGCACCCCCAGCTCCTTTTTCTCCACACAGCCATTCTGCCCAAGCCCACAGTGCTGCCTGGGGTTGTTGTGCCCAAAGTGCAGGACCCGGCATTCATTCTTGTTGAACTTGATCCCTTTGGCCTCAGCCCAGCCATCCCGCCTGCCCAGATCTCTCTGTAGGGCCTTCCTACCCCAGGCAGATCGACGCTTCCTCCCATCTTGGTGTCGCCTGCAGACTTGTGGAGGGTGCACTCAGTGCCCTCATCCAGGTCACCAACAAAGACATTAAACAGGACAGGCCCCACTTCTGACCCTTAGGGAGCACCGCTTGTGTCTGTTCACTGGCTGGATTTAACTCCATTCACCACCACCCTCTGGACCTGGCCACGCAGCCATTTCTTTACTCAGCAAAGACTGCATCTGTCCAAGCCACAGGCTGCCAGCTTCTCCAGAAGAATACTGTGGGAGACAGTGCCAAAGGTTTTGCTGAAGAAAAATATGGAATATGTCAATAGTTTTTACTCATCCACCAGCTGGGCTACTCTATCATAGAAGGAGATCAGGTTGGTCAAGCAGGACCTGCTTTTCATGAACCCATACTGGCTAGACGTGATCCCCTGGATGATCCACACATGCTGTATGATCTCCCTTAAGATGATATACTCCATAACCTTACCTGGCACTGACAGGCTGACAAGCTTGTAGTTCCCTGGATCTCCCTTTTGACCATTCTTGTAGATGGGAGTCATTTTGGCAAGCCTCCTCCAGTCCTTCGAGACCTCTCCTGCTGATCAGGAATACTGATAGATGGCAGAAAATGCTTAGCAATCACTTCCACCAATTCATCAGCACCCTCAGATGGATCCCATATGTCCCATGGACTTGTCACAGTTCATGTGGAGTAGTATGTTTCTAACTCTTTCCACCTGAATCATGGGGGGTTTATTCTGCTCCTTATCCAAGACTCCCAAGTCATGGGGCAGCATAACCTGAGGATGATTTGTATCACAGAATGGCCAGGGTTGGAAGGGACCTTAAGGATCATGAATCTCCAATCCCCTGCCACATGCAGGGCCACCAACCTCCACATTCAATACTAGACCAGGCTGCCCGGGGCCCTATCCAGTCTGGCCTCGAACACCTCCAGAGACAGGGCATCCGCAACCTCTCTGGGCAGCCTGTTCCAGCACCTCACCACCCTCTCTATAAAGAACTTCCCCTGATACCAACCTAAATCTTCCCTCCCTTAACTTAAAACCATTTTCCCTTGTCCTGCTGTTATCTACCCTTTCAAAGAGTTGAAAAGAGATAGATGTTAAGAAGGCATTGAGATCCTCAGCCTTTTCCTTATCTTCAGTGGTCATGTCTAATAAAGGATGGAGAATCTCTTTAATCGTCCTTTTAATTTTATTACATTTTTACATTTTTTTTTCTTCTCTTTTACCCCTATGGCCAAGTCAAGTTCAAACTGGGCTTTTGCCTTTCTTTCTTCTTGCACATCCTAATAACTTTGTACTCTCACCAAGCTGCCTGTCTCTTCTTCCATAGGAGGTAAGTGGCATGTGCCATTTTATTATAGCAGTGCCTCTGCCATCTCAGTCATCAGGTACTTAATTTTTGTACTTTCCATTATCTTTTAGTCCTTCTTAGCCTTTTCTGTTGGAGACTATTCCACTGCCTTTTCAGAATTGCTGTGTATTACTGCATATGCTGGTGATGTATTGGAAATACTTTATTTCATGCAAGTGCAGATTTTTCTGTTATTTTGCTAGACCCACTGTGAATATTACAGTTTGTTTGGAGAAATCTGTGTCATGCTGCTGGACAAGTACAGTAAGACAAGCTGGGCTTTCTTTTTTAGTATTTTTTAAACATAATTTATTTGGCAACCACTTTGTCAGTCTCAGGGACTGAATTCAATGAATAGTATTTGCCAAAGCAAAAAATGAAGGAGAAATTTCAAGGATGGCAAAACAATTTATTTCAGATTTTCATAATAGAATGTTTCAAATGTTTAGGCTGTAACTGAAGAAGTGTAGGTGAGAAAGAGGCAAATGCACCGGTGACACAGCTGCACTTAACATTATAGTACTTAAGCCAAGAAGTTTATCTAATATTGAAAAGCAATGTGAATTCTAGCTCCTTCTCTGCCTGACTGAATTCCTGGGTTGAGCTGAGAACAGCTCAAAGTTCTCATTAAAAAAAAACTGTGGTTCAACTCTCTAATCAGGACTCACAAATTCTTATCATATAGCATGTCTTGCAGTCCTCAGTCCATATTAGCATTAGGTCAACACTGTCCTCTTGAGTCATACCCTCATAACCCAACAATCATATCCTATCCCTTAACAGGATGAAACATATCTTTGTACAAGGTTTAAAAAAAAATAGAGACAAATTAATTCTGAAAGCAGAATTTAACTATGTAATTTGTACAATGGATTTCTGTTCTTGAATAAAGATATCCAGTAGCTGTCTTACTTTCTGAAGATTTTTTTACTGGTAATATTTAATTTTTCAAATGAATTAGAAAATACACCTAGAAGGCACTGCAAATTTGTGACCTCACCCTTCTTAAAGCTAAATACACTTTTCCAATAGCCCCTTTCTTATTGTACCAATAATAAAGAACTCCAGAAATAAAGATGGTTATTTGTTGAGTTTATACTGTTCAGATTCATTTGGTCCAATTTGCACTAAGGCACTGTACACAGATGTGCAATTAATGAATATACAGATGTTATGGTGTAGCAGAGAGCTTGGCTATGTAGTAGTTACACCAAAGCAGGAAACAGAAAAGATAGGTACACTCACCCATATCCTGGGCTTGTGTGGAAAACTCCAGTAGAGTGTACCTCCAAAAGAGGTCCTTCCACACTGGTAGTCAGCTCTTCAATGGGTCTATGAGAGGTGGAGCCAAGCTCCACCCCTTCCGGCAGCACAGGTGAATTGCTTTCACCTGTGCTCCAGGGCTGACTCATTGCTTGCCTCAGTGATCAGTGAGAGGTTCAGGCCATGACTCAGCAGTTCCCATACATTCTACCCTTTCACGGTGTGAACCAATGACTAAAGGGTTGACTAAAGGCTAAGCTTTTCCTAATACAGAGATCCAGTGTATCACGATGCTTATACAGTTTCCATTGCAATGCATATTGGTAAAATTCAACATGAGTGACGATCGGTGAACATTGATATTCTTTAATGGGCCAGTGCTCGATGGTGTTACTGGAGGCAAGCGGTCGTGAGGTGCAGGTCCGTCCTATGTTCCATCAGTCCCATGTAGACTATCACCAGGTGTTGCATGTGATCTGACAGCAACACTGGAATGCTTGATGGCATTTTGTTCCTTTCAGTGATCCTGAAGGCTCAAAGACTCACAGGGAGTAATACAGATATTTCAGAGGTACCAAGAGTGAAGGTCTGCTCTCCAGGGCAAGATACAGGCCGTGATTCAGCAGTACCCATACAGCAGTCAAGCCAGTTATTGCAGCGTTCCTTTTTAATTGCTCTGTTGGCATGCCATGAACATACAAGCTGAACTTAGAGCAGATGGATATATTTCAAACAGAATCAGACTGAATCACACAGAGTCACAGAATCACAGAATCACAGAATTGTAGGGGTTGGAAGGGAGCTCCAGAGATCATCGAGTCCAACCCCCCTGCCAAAGCAGGTTCCCTACAGCAGGTCGCACAGGTAGGCATCCAGGCAGGTCTGGAACATCTCCAGAGAAGGAGACTCCACCACCTCCCTGGGCAGCCTGTTCCAGTGCTCCGTCACCTCACTGTAAAGAAGTTCTTGTGCACATTTGTGCAGAACTTCCTATGCTGCAGTTTCCAGCCGTTTCCCCTTGTCCTGTCTCCACATACAGCTGAAAAGAGTCTGGCCCTGCCCCTCTGCCCCCCACACCTCAGATATTTATAGACCTGGATCAGGTCCCCTCTCAGTCTTCTTTTCTCAAGGCTGAACAGACCCAGTTCACTCAGCCTTTCCTCATAGGAGAGATGCTCCAGGCCCTTCACCATCTTTGTGGCCCTCCGCTGGACTCTTTCCAAGAGATCCCTGTCTTTTTTGTACTGGGGAGCCCAGAACTGGACGCAGTGCTCCAGATGAGGCCTTACCAGGGCAGAGTAGAGGGGGAGGATCACCTCCCTCGACCTGCTGGCCACATTCTTTTTAATGCACCCCAGGATGCCGTTGGCCCTCTTGGCCACAAGGGCACACTGCTGGCTCATGGCCAACCTGTTGTCCACCAGGACACCCAGGTCCCTCTCTGCACAGCTCCCCTCCAGCAGCTCATCCCCCAACCTGTACTGGTGCATGGAATTATTCCTCCCCAGATGCAAGACTCTACACTTGCTTTTGTTAAACCTCATCCGTTTTTTTTCTACCCAGCTCTCCAGCCTGTCCAGGTCTTGCTGAATGGCAGCACAGCCTTTGATCATAGGGACTGAAATGAACCTCTGGAGATCACTGAGTTCAACCCTCTGCTAAAGCAGGTTCTCTACAGTGCATTGTACAGGAATGTTTTTGGGCAAGTTTTGAATATTTCTAGGGAAGGTGATACCACAACTATTCTGAGCAGCCTGTTCCAATGCTCTGTCACCCTCAAAGCAAAGAAGTTCTTTTTTTTGCTTGTGCGGAATTTACTGTGCTCCACTTAGTGTCCATTGTTCCTTTCCTATTGCTGGGTACCACTGAAAAGAGCCTGGTCCCATCCTCTTGACTCCCACCTGTTAGATATTTATAAGCTTTGATAAGATCCCCTCTCAGCCTTCTTTTCCCCAGACTGAAAAGCCCCAGGTCTCTCAGCCTTTCCTTATATGGGAGATTCTCTATGTCCCCATCATCTTTGTAGCCCTCCACTGAACTGAGTATTCCCTAAAAGTTCTTCTAAAAGTTCCCTGTCTTTCTTGAACTGGGACCGCAGAACTGGACACAGTACTCCACATGTGGCCTCACCAGAGCGGAGTAGAGTGGGAGAATCACCTCCCTCAAGGAGAACTTACCTTGACCACTCTCAGTTAAATCTATTTTTTTATGGTAAATCCTGCCACTAGCCATTTGAGAGCAGCTGCATTTTGGTTAAAAAATGCTATTGGTCCCAACAATGCTTCACTCTTTGCTGTTGTATGTTTAGTAGTAAGCACACCAATTTCAAACCATTTAGGTTTCTTTTTCCGTTCCGTGTTAATGAAAAGAAATCCCTGTAATTGGTTTGAGCAGTGCAGAACCAATGCTGAATTACCTATTATCATACCGTTAACAATCCCTCTCAAGTTTTGCTGGTTTTTGCAGTACCCAATGAAATACAGTCTTCCCTTCTCCAGAGTGCGCTGCACGGGCACATTAGTATTCCCTTCCCAGCACAACTCTGTGTCAGTATGGAGACAGCTTTGTGGTTAGGCACTTTCTGCCATCTTCTCAGCAAAAAGAACATCCACTGTCATTTCTGAAGCAGGGAACTAATAAGGCAGCAGTGATATTCTCCCTCATTGTCACAAATACAGGAATACTGACAAGTTTTTTGGAGCATCATATGTTAGAAAAATAAAGCCTGAGTTTTCAGATTTCTGGCTTTTGACTCTGACTTTGAGATATGCTGTTTGCAATTACAGATTGTCCCAGTGTTTCCATGCACCTTTCGGTACTGAAAACACATATTCTTTCCCTCACAATGTCTGCAGACTATGGAGAGTTTGCTACCACTTATCTATCACACATTTTCTGGGATTTTCTAGATCCTTTGTCTGCACAGTCAAAAACACTTAATCTGTCCTTTCCAGGATTCAGCAAAATAAATGTAAAAGATAATTCAAAAGGCCATGTTCACATGTTCTTGCTTTAAAAAAGGCCAATTTTTTTTTTACCAATTAGCTTTCGAGAGTAGTTCTGCAGATATTTTTAACAGTGCCGAATATTTTTCTTGCACTCAAGAGAAAAGATGCATATTTTCATATGTAGCTTATATGAAAGCAGCGTGTTAAAAATAACTCACACTCTTCTAGAAATGAGAATTGGTAACTTGGCTTTTTACAAATGGATCAAACAGAAAATAAAGTACGGTCAGCCCGATCACTTTGTGAAAGCTGATAATAAAAGAGAGGTCTGCTAAGATATCCATTGGAATATCTGACATTGAATTGTCTCCCTTTGCCTTTTAAATTCTAAGAATTCAGTGGGTCCAAGAGCAGTACCCCCAGAAATGCAGACCTGGATGATCCTGTTTTTCTCCCAGCCTCGAGCTCATTCTTACAGTTTAGATTTCAGCTTCAGCTTTTATTATTTCCTGCTTGCCAGCAAATTTTGACATGGCCTAGAGACTCATGTACTCTTCTTATGGGCAATATATGAAAATGTTCTCTTCATGAAACGTAGAAAAGTGGAGAAGGATTTTGGCATTAGTAAAGAGGCTGTTCAGATTGAACATTTCTAATGATGCTCTTCAGTTAGCAAACAAGCAAGACCTTTTCTGAGTAACGGTTTTTTCAGCTTCTTTTCCCTATCCAGGACTTAGTACATCCAAAGTAGCTCAGGCCCCTTCATATACTGCCAATATCTTTTTTTCAGTTGGAGCGTAGCAGGCCTCCCAGACCTGGAGGTTGACCTCAAGCCACCCCTGGAGTTTTCTGCCAGAAGCTCCAGGTGGAACCATTCTTTCCAGCTGCAGTACAGAGCACCTTTCTTACATCTTGTCCTGTTTGGATTCGCATAAAGGTTACTGCATGAACATCCTGCTTAATTTGCTCAAAGTCTTGTCATTGCTCAGGGGCTTAAATTGTTCTTCTTCTGAGTCACTTGATAGAGAGGTTTTACAATCAGACTGAGGTTTTACAATCTGAAATGTGCGTTTTCCAGAAACCCACGACACCTAAGAAAGCTTGTGTTTCCTTTTTCATTAGTTGGTAGAGACACAGCAGTTATTTTATTGGTCATATCCTTAGGGATCTGGCAACATCCATCTTACCATTTTATTCTTAAGAATCTTCTGTGCAGATCCCGTGACCATACTTCACTTTATGCTGAAACTAATTTTGAGGTGGAGTTGAATTATTTTTTTCCCATTCTCAAAAACTTCTGCTGTGTTTTCCCATGCTGTGATGTTGTCAATGAAATGCAAACAGGAGCTTTCCCCTGTCCCACAGCAGAGTCGACAAGCCCATGACAGCACTGTTTCCACTCTTGGGGCAGTTAATTCCACGTATACTAGATGCCTCTCCTGATCTTGTGTACTATCCGTCTGTCTTTGACTCCATTTGATACTGAAGTTCTAGCATGTCTGTAGAAATACATGCAATAGAATCAGAACAATCTGATGTCTGTCAAAAAGCATTTGGCTCTTGAGTCAAACTACATAGGCCATACTGATTTCTGTAGACTTGCCCAATTGGTGTCTGTCTTATTGACAGAAAATTACAATTTGCCAAATAACAGGCTCAATTATGAAAATGAATTCTTTTTGCTACCCTTGGTAAGAGACATTCCTCACTGTGCTCAAGACTGAGTTATGACAGTAACCTACAAAGCACAGGCCTGCAGCATGCTGCTGAAGAAGGGAAAATCACTGCAGCAACCACAAAGCAGGCAAAGGGTGAATGTTCCCTTGTTCACAGGGGAATTAGCAAGCACCATGCTAGATAAATTGCAGTCCTTGGGTTCTGACAATAGAATGAGCCAGAATACCCATACAACCAAATAAACTGAGAGCTTTACAATCTGTTTGATTAGAATACTTGGACACAATAGGCAGAAGAACTTAAAGAAGTACTGTATCTGCATATACAAATTCTTTATCTTTTCCAAAGGAAAAGTAAGACACTCCTTTTGTCAAAACTCACACACTGAATTTCAGGAATGTGAGTACTGTTTTCTTTGATGACCTTTG